TGTCAAATTCTTCTTTTATTATTACATTAATGTACTTACAAATAAATATATTTTGTTTGCGAATAATAATAATGTTGTGTCACAAAAACAAAGAATTTTATACGTAATATTTACAGGAGATTACAATTTTTATATGTAATATATTTATGTACATTTAGAGAATTTATAAGTTAAAAAAGTTTTCAGATACGGAGAAAAATACTTTTTTTTGCAAAATTAAACTAAACCATCTTCACCTTAAAGACACGTTGAATGAGAGTACCGCGTTTAAACGCTCTCTCGCTAGCGTGGGAGCATCGCAGGCGACCGTCATACATCGTCATTGCACGAGACGCAACGAGCTCGGTGCACTCCAACACCTTGCATAAAATGATGGACGCGAAAAGCATCGAGGCGTTCATTATGCGATGTTTCCTGCACACGCGGATATGAGCGAGTTTATACACACATGCGCGCGGCCCTGTTTGCGTTGCGCTCAGAGCGAGAGAAATTAAGAGACTCAGGGCACAGGTACGCGAGTGAGGATTACGAAGAAGCCTAAAATTCCCGGTGGAGTTTTACGACTGTTTACGGTTGTTTTCGGCTGTTTACCTAAGGCTCGAAATTGAGAAAATCAAGAGGCTCCCTCAACGAACGGAGCTGTGGAAATTGCTAGGGCGAGAGCGAAGGGAGAGGAAGGGAAAACTGCGAACTGTGCTCGCGTTGCGAGCGAGCGACATGAAAGCCGGCCGATGTCGAAGGGCGGTAGTACTTAGAGAGAATCAGAAGCGCCAAACCAAAAGCCGTGAATATCTCTTTGAATTCTTAAAAGGAAGCGAGAAAATCCCTTTTATTCTGCGAGCGCATTGACGGTGGATATTGAGTGCGACGGCATAAATCGGAAATGCCGGCGGGAAATGACTGGGGGAGAAAAAAAAATCCAAATGAGCAGCGGAGATATGCAAGGCAGATCCGAGTTTCGTGTTTCGAAAAAACGTGTCGAGTGTCTATTTTTAAAGACACGCGAGCGATGAATAAAAGAGAGAAAATTAATATTTTATTTAAGACTTTTATTTTTACGCTCCCCACCTATGAATTAATAATCGTTTCTTCTATGAATAAATGAATTGTGTCTGATGTATGTTAAATTACACGGAATATTTTTGGCGCAAAGAGAGAAGGGGTGTTGATAGAATATGTAAGTGAAGCGCGGTATCGGAACCGCGACGGTTGCCGGAGAGAAAGGAATGGCGTTCCGTTAAGATTGGGGAAAAAAAATCGGGAAGACGCGAAGACGGAGCGTCATGGATCACCGAGACGAAAATGGATGAAATGTCGACGGGGAAGGTGAAACGTGGAAACGAAGGCTTGGGCGTTAGGGAAAGACAGAAGGGTGTTCCTTAGAGGGTGCTCGCGCGAAGCTGCCTAGTTCGGCGGTAGAGTTTGAATAATGCAGACTTGCACAACGCTGCTTAAAAGTGATCGGTCCAACCCTTCCTCCCTCCCTCTCTCTCTTTCTCTCTGCATCACCCCTCCGTTTCTCCCTTTCATCCTCTCTTCTCCGATCCCTTTAGAATCTCACTTCCAGTTCGTCTAAGAGTACGAACTAAGATTGATTTTAGATTGGGTGGGAATTGGGAATAGTGAGCCTGTTACTCTCTACCTCTCCCCGCAAAATCCCTCCCTCTCCATCTTCGGTTTCTCACTCCGTTTCTCCTTCTTCGTCTGACACGACGTTTCTTCGCTTTTCTCTGTTTCTCTCGCGATGTACATACGTACTCGTGGATTTACATAGCCGGGCGTAATATGTTTATGTAGCCTGGGAAAGGCGTTGAAGAGATGCACTGTACTTGCGACTGCGAGATTTATTCCCTTAGCGATTAAAATAAGAAAATAGAGAACATCTCCGAGCATTAGTTCTTGTTGATGTTTGTTTTCGAGAGATAGTGTACTTGTACTAATTGCGCAAAGTTTGCACAGCAAAATACAAGTGTTACTTGCGATCGGCAACGTTTTGACAATCGCGCATCTTTGCGAACTATAATTTTTGTTATAATTTTTTAACACATTTTTTGTCTATCGTGTATCACGCACGCGTACGTGCGCATTTAGGAGTCGCCTAATTGATACTAACGTTTTTATCTCTCGATTCGCCGCATTCATTTCGCGTTTGCGGTCGCATCGTTCTACCTTTCACGCTCAATTTACATATTTCGCCGCGTTTCTATAATCAGCGCCAAGTCCAATCGAATTATGGAAAGAACGTTCTTTGTGGACGTGACCGTATAAAAGCCCGGTCCCTAGTCGAGATTTATCCTACCGGCGATGAACCCTCTCGGGGGAGTATAAAAGTGCCAAATTAGAGTATAGTACAGCGAGAGACTGGGCCAGGGCCGTGCCTATATAGGGCACGACGAAAGCCCGCATTGCGGAATGAGAGATCGCCTATCGGGCTCTCTCTCCCTATCGCTGCTTCCCCACTTTGTGGGGCCAATTTGCGAGAGATCGCAATTCTAGATGATGCGGGAACATTTAGATCAGTAACAATCGTCATTTAAACGCTCATACTCGAAACTAATCCCGCGTTGTAACTCCTATCCTTCGGTAACTTGACGCAACGCGGCACTTTGTGCGCAGAAATAATTTTGTGACAATTCAAAATCCGCAACAACATTCGAGAGTTTTTTTTAAGAATATTTATTGCGCCCTAGAGAATATAAAAAAAAAGCACTTGGTATAAATGTGTGTCTATTGGCGCGTCTTGTTACGTGTCGTTATTCGTTTGGTTGTACCAAAGCAATGATGACATCTGGGTCTGCAGAAGCGCCGACCGGAACACCCGCATTGCAGACACCCCTTCGAGACAACTCCGGAAATCGGTACCCGCCATTTTTCCCCGCTCACGTAGACGTTATTTATATTCACGAAATTTATGAAACTTCACGGAAGTGTGAGAGTTTGTTCGCATTTCGGATTCGTGTAAAATTTAGTTGTTGTGAAACTACTTTTCTCTTACTAAAATCTCAGTTTTTTAAAGTTTTCTTATTTTCTTGTTCATCCGTCCGTTGTTTTTGTACGTTATCTCTTCCTCAATGTTTTACTTATTTTTCAGTCGCGCGCCTGTTAAAAGATCGATTAAGTAATCTTCGATATTCGCGATATTTTGGATATTTCTTTTTCTTTTTGATAATTTAAGAGGAAGAACAACAAGAGAGCAATTACGCGATAAATTTTACGAGATAGCCGTTACTGTCGCGACTCGATCGTGGAAAACGCAACTGTGCATTTCGGACCGGATGAATAGAAGTCGCGAGCCGTAGGAGATAAACGGTATAATAGGCGGCGGTCTGCATTTTGAAAATGATTCGGCGTGAGGCGTGCGAGCGCGGCGGCACTAAAGCAGATCGAACTCCGCGAGAGATCGATGCGTCAATAATTTCCTATGACGATCGTAGCTCGTTCGACTCGCCGACATTATTCATCGAACGGAATTCCGAATAAAACAACCGTCGGAATCACGTTAAAAGCTTTCTGGCTCTTTCCGCTGAAACGACTCTGCGTTTTCCCCGTTGCTATCTGTATATATGCCTTTTCCTCTCTCTTTCTCTCGTTTTTTTTTTTTTTTTTTTTTTATCTCTTTTTTTCGGTATCGTCCACTCTGTTTTTTACTCGCTTCTGATGCGCCACCCTTGGTTTCTCTCCATTGCTGTAGCCTTTTGTAATCCCGCAACCCGACGTTGAAAGGCGTGCGTGAGCAAACGTGAAACGCGCGCGAGCGTAAACGAAAGCGACAGTGGAAGAAGGGCAAAGAGATGAAGTGGAAAGAAGCACCTTGGAAATAAATTTCACTGGGTTCATGAAAAGCGCTACCGGTAACCGTTAAAACGCATCGAAATGTTCTCTCTTGTTCTCTCTCTCTCTCTTTGTACATGCAATAACGTAGAAGAAGAGCCGGTAACACGAAGAAAGGGTGGACGGGAGAATGAATAAAGAGGATTAATTGCTCCCACCATTGTTATCCTTTTTTGTCAGTGAAAGCCGATACAACGACTCATTATCGAAAACTTTGCGAAAGAAACAAACGCGATCCAGACGAGATCAGTCGTTCACGTGCTGCTTTGAGAAAAAGTACTTTGACAAACGATACTTTTAACATATATTAATTTTAACGTATATTAATAAAGTGTATACAATAGTTGTGCGAAGAGTCAGATGAAAAGAAAAAGTATATACATTACATAGTAAAAAAATTCAAGTTTTCAAATTTTTGTATCTTGTTCAATTCTCGTGAGACCCAGATTTTGCTCTTCTCCCTCGACGCAAATCCATCGATTGCTCGCTATAGAACATGAATTGCCAGTTTTCAATCTATGTAGCGAAAGTGAATTTGTGAAATCTTGGTCGAGGGAAGGAGGAAGAGAGAAATAGAAAGAAAAGGAGAGAAATATGTGTGCCGAGAATACGACACGGTGGTCAAATTTTTATCGCTTTTATTCAGAGTTACAATTTATTGGTCGGAATAAGGCGATCGATACGCGTAGGCGTCACATTGTCTGAAGCGCGTTTTACGTTTCACTCGAAGAGACCATTCCGAACATCGACTACTGCTAGTAGTCTCGAACGGCACATTTATAAGCGAAATAAAAGTCCTCCGACGGAGAACGAAGGGTTGCAACTGAAAAGGAAAGAGGGGGAAGGGGATTGCAATGGCGCAGTGCGTTGGGAAGAAAGTTAAGAGCTGGCAGAATAATATCACTTTTTCAAAACTAAGTGTCATTACGGAGAACATTTGTTTTAAAATGTGCGTCATTGACAGAGATAATTGAGGTGCATGAAGATGTGAACATACATATGCTAAATACTGTTAAATACAGTACAGTCTTAAGAAAGAAATAAAATATCTTTCTGTACGATGCAATTTTGTGGACGTTTGATAATTACAATTGTTAATTTAGCATGCGTTATTTAATTTCTTTTTTTTTTTATACTTTAGTCCAATTATATTTTATATTTTGTTTCAGAATGCTGGCTGGGGAGAATGGTCGCCATGGTCGAAGTGGTCGCCATGTTCACGGTAAGTCGTCAAACTTAAAGAGAACAATATATAGCTTCAACTTTTTAACAATTTCTATAACGTCAAAATATGAATTTTTTATTTGTTAAAATTATATGAAGTATTGTATAAATAACTTAATGTGTAGGAGAGAAATTATAAAATTGTCGTGAATATTTGCTTCAATTTTTTAACTCAATAAGGAATTTATCTCAAAAAGATATATTACTCGAGGTCGAAAAATTTTTTTTATTTTATTATTCGGCACTCGCGTGAGATATTTTCTGTGCGTGGTCATGTGCAAGACAAAAGTTCGTATTTCACGATGAAGAGATCGTATTCTAGAACAAACTGCGGAGCGGAGAATAGCGCGCACATATTGTGGCCGTGCGACAAAGGGCGCCTTAACGGGGTTGTCGGTCTTTCGCATGCAAGGCATGATCCAATCTCGCGATTTCTCATCGCCTGTTTCGTGCGGTTCTAATATTGAGTCCTACCGATAACACAACCGGAATGTTAAGCGTTTCGGAACTCATTTTGGCGGCCACCACCGCGGCAATAACTTTGTTCCCGACTCACCTCCTCCTCCTTGTCGCTCGTTTTTCAGTTATACTGAAGTGGCTGGAACTGTGAAACGTAGCAATTTATGGCACTTACAACTTGCGAACTGCACTTGGCCAGAAAAAAGCTTATTGTGTGATCTACAGCGCCCTACTTATTGATGTTTCCACGCCACTTGTATTTCACACATCTCGGTGTGCTCTCGGTTACGATTTCCAGTGCCGCTAAAATAACAAGATGTCTGCAATAATAAAGATAATTAATTGTTTTAACTAATTATAACATGAGTTGTTGTTTCAAGTATTGATTTTTCAATACATTAAAATTATATATATATATATATATAAGTTTAACTTTGTTATAAAGTTACAATAAATATTAAATAATAAAAATTTCTTTATCTCACGTGGGAGTGTCAATTTTTCGCGTATTTATATTTAATAAATGTATAACGCTTGATAAATTTAAATACTTTTTATATCTATAAAATCGAGAATAATCAATAGATATAATGCATAGTATGTACAATATTATTGTTCCAATTAACCAAATATCTGTAATTAATAAGCATTATTTAAAGCAAATAATTGCTATTTATATAAACTAATGCAATCCGTGTACTGTTGTTTTTAAAAATTAAATGATAGTTTATTTAATTTATATCACAATTGCTATATACACACACAATATAGTGACTAGTTTAGTGCTATAAATTAATAAAATGTTACTTGATTTTGTAAATAAAAATAGACAAAAATAAAAATAGATTTTATTCATATGTATAGAAATGCTATTTGCGTATAATTAAAATCAAACGTATCGTTTTTTTTTGCGTTACATTTTCGATCCAAGTTTTTAACATTTTCTCGATGTGACGTCATTATTACTTTTTCACACACAAACTTTGCTTAAGGCTCTTCGATACTTTCGCAATTATCTTGAATTGTCAAAAGTAAGGAAAATACGCGAAAATTTCGTGAACTTTGCATGAGAATAAGATTATTTCTGTATAAACGCACGTGGAATCGCAATAGAGCACACTTGTAAAATATACCGGAAACTGTTCCATCCGTTTAACAACAAAACTCAAGCAATGGAAACATGGGCTTGTCACATGGGTTTTGACAGCTGTCGAATCGCGTCTTGATTTTGCGTTTCTTACATTTAAATCACTACGAACGAAATTTCCGATATATTTTACAGGTATGCTTTGTCGAACAAACCTCTTGACTTCTCGCTAAACACTTGTATTTCCGCACGAAACTTTCGATATGTTTTCAGGCCATTTCAGGCCGCGTGCGGTTGAGTGCAGACATAAGTTTGTTTGTGTGTTTATATTTTTTTGCACTTTGTTTTGTTTTTTCTTTCTCACCAAAATACAAACATATATCTTATTCTAAATGCAAACAGTGTGTGCAAGCAGCGCGAAAAATGTTTTCCATGTCTGTTCTCATGACGATCAACGTTGCTGCTGTCAAATCGGACGTTCAGACACATATCGGGGATTCTTAAAACTCGAGAACACTTTTGCATTGTTTACGAAAGAAGAAAATAAGTTAATTAAATATTTAATATTTATGAATATTTAATATTTATCTTTTCTATTTGCGTATTATTAAAATAAAGATAAAATTGCAGTCGTAATTGAAAATGTGATTACATTTAATTTTCATTCTATTGGAATTTTGACGCTTCGCTCGGAGATATTAATCCAGTTGTTTAAACAGAAGTTATAGAGACCATAGAGACGACTGAAGTTCGATTTATGTATATAAATGAACGTGATAATTGGCTAGAACGCTTTAATATCACAAGTGACACTTCCATTTTGGTGGCGAATGTATTTTGTACCGCGAGTACGGAGAGCACACTAACTTATACTTGTTGTGGTAACGCAATTTTCAGCGAATAAAGATCGCTCATGGAATTAGCGTGAAGTAGTAAATTGAATTAACTAACCGCGTCGCGTCGGTGCGCGGCGCTGCTAAAATGTAATTAAACTCTTGACGATTTCAGCACGCCTTGCGATTAAGAAAACTCCATTGAATAAGCGCGCCTGAGAAAGACGTCCCCGGTCAAAGTGCATTCGAGAATATTTCGAATGTCTCACATAATATAGAAAATAAGTTTCTGATGTACTATTTCACAAGCCGCGTGTGTTACGTTCTTTCAGAACGTGCGGCGGCGGAATTTCGCGACAACAACGTCGATGCAGGCGTAAACTGTGCAAGGGAAGACTCTGGACTATCAAGTATAAAATCTGCAACCCGGAGGTGAGTAGTTCTAACCATCTCTCGCGTCTCGTTCTCCGTATTTTGAGAAGTAAACTTTGCAAACTCTCGAATATCATTCTCGTTTTGCATGTACAAATTTTTGATATAATGAATTTGTTATGTACCGTGTTTTAAATTGTTCAAAAAAAAAAAAAAAAATTTAACTACATCGTTGACATAGCAACTTTTCCGAAAGAGAAAGAGAGAGAGAGAGAAAATATGATGAATGTTTTATATAAAAAAATTGTCCACTTATTTTTTATTTAAAATTTTATGCAACACACATATGTATACTAGAGTGTATGTTTAAATACGTATATATAAATTCAAAATTTTGGCCAATCTTGTGTATTAATCATGCGTTTAATCATATTACGCGTTAAACACAGTGACATCGCAATTTTCACACACTCTCTCTCGTTGCGCGAATGATTGAAAAATATCGCGCGAAGCCGATATGCACCTGCAATAACATAACTAGTAATAATGCAGACGAATTGCAACGTTTCGCGAAATTAAATGGCGTTTATTGCCGCAAATCGTTCTTAAATATTTCAATTTACGTTCGTAATTCGTCGATGCGCCTGCATCAATATTATGTCAACCGAGATGTAAATTGGATACATGATGAATTCGATATTGACGCAGAGCGACCAACAGCATTTCTCTCGTATGTAAGCACGTTTCTGCACCGCGGTCGCGGCCAATACGCACGCTCTGCAGTTATCCGGGCTAACTCTCCCTCCTCCTGGGACAGGGATGTAGGGATGCAAGTGATCCGACCTACATTCATATCTGGGGCAAGTGTTAGGTAGGATGCGGCTACATGTCAAACAGAATCGTCCCGATATACATTCTGCGTGTCAATTGTTGTCGATCAACTTGCGTTTTGTTCAAACGCCATATCCTTGAAACTTTTAATTATTTTAATTTTGCCCGTAGAGCACTACTATTAACAATAATAAAATTTTTTATACATAAATATCACAAAACAACATATGTTTTTTTTTTTTTACTACAAAATTTTCTGTACGCGGCACAAAGCGAAATAGATTTATATACCTTTGTGCAGTATCGATGTACAAATTCGATAACTTCAACCGGTGAAAAATTTTTATCGAAAAAAGAAAAAAAACAATTTTTTCTATAATTCTAGTTGGATAACGTGCATATCCAACAAAAGTAAGCCGCTACTTTTCTGGCTGATTAAAAACGTTTGTCGCGCTAACGCGACGACGCTCGACCCAAATTGACGTCGTTAACAACCGCGCTTCAACATAACGGGCGCAGATCTCTCTCGCGAGGAATAGAGAAAGAGTGAAAGAAAAAGAGAGCGAGAGGGAGAAAAGGGAGATTGCATTTCGAGTTTCTGTAAAATCGTAAAAGTGCAAAGCACTCATCGGTCCCAGATGGGGAACGCCTTTGTCGACGAGCGGTCGCCCGACCGATGCGACGTGACATTTTGCCCGCGGGGGCGATATTCACTTGCGCTTGTTTCGCCCAGAGAAGAAAGCGCATTCGACTATGTTCGTACATGCGCTCGCATGCAACAAAGAGTATCTAACATCCACAAAGCAACGTCGAGGTCTTAGCGAGACGTCTTGCGTTCTCACTTTTTTTTTTTTTCACTCGCGCGCTTGTTCGCATTCGTGACGCGCAGTGTCTTTTTCACTTAACCGGGCCAAAACGCTTTATTGTCCCTTGCCAACGACGGCGGTGTGGAGACTGGAACTTTTCTCGCAAACTTACGAGCAACGTACTGGGGAAAGTGCGAAGGTTTCTCGTATATATAGCGCAAGTATGTAAACACACACTACTACATTTTTACTCTTGCGAACTACTGCTTTGTTTTATTCATTTTTTTTTCTTGCTTTAGTTTGATTTGCTACGGAAAAAAAGCGACAAAAAATAAAACGATATTTAATGAATCTTTTTATTGAATCATGCCGCAAAAATGACAGAAATGACGGTGGAAAAATGTGCTCTATAGTCCAGGCTCGTCAGGTATTCCATTCGCATGATAAAAGCCAACGAGAGTAGGTTTGAGTATATATCCCGCGAAATATTCCTGCGGCTTGTTGCATTAATCTTCGGGATTATCTCGACGAAATGTGATAGCCTCTCGCGTAATTTTCTGACCTCCTACACACGCTTTCTGGATTTTCTCCTATATACGCGGTAATATAACGTGGCGTAATATACACATTTTCGGATATATAATAATATTTTGTCAATTTTTTTATTAATTTTATATCGGCATATAAAGATTAATTATAATAGTATTATAGTACTTTTATATATATAATTAATCTTTATGTGCCAATAAATATTGTACATGAAAAAATGTTATCTCGTTTTTTTTGTTTTATTTATTTATATATTTTCACGTATCAAGCGAAAAAAATCTGAATTTGCCAGATATTTTCCATATATTTTCTAAAATTTGTTGCATTGTCTCGCACGTCAAAATGACGTGGATTTTGTTCCATCCATGGGACATCTCTCATTCAGGCTGATGGACAATTTTCCAGGGTAAGCGGTAAGTGCTGCCTCGCTTCTGTGCTTTTTATGATGTCACATCCAATCGACAGCTGTGATTGGTCAATAGCGCGCGATTCTCTGTGTAAATGACCGACCGTGATCCCAACAATTCCGATATTATCCTGTGTCTTGCAGCTATTGCTATTGGAGAGAAAAAGAATTGATTTATCATTATCAGCTCGCGCGCGCGTGCGCGCACAGTAGCAACAATCAGAATGGAAAATGAAATGTAAACGCAATTATATATTACCGATTTCCACGTACATTTTAAACTTTGTTTTCCGAACTCGTCCGATTGCAATGCGATTATATTCGCATTAACAGTTGCGATTTCTAAATACATCCGGTGATTTATCGTGTCAATGTACGGCAAAAGCGGAGTATTTTATATCGGTCGCGAGATTTTGTTCCATCACAGACAAACTGGAAAACTCGATAGTCCATGACTCGATTTCGTCATGGAACAAATCTTTTTCGAGAGATTTATGCAGAGCGAACAAGAGTTAGCGACGTTAAAATATTTAATTGTTCTACTTGATTTAAAGGTCTCTGTTCTCGCACAAGAACGATCCTTTGGCGAAGTCTAAGATAATAATTCAAGAACATGTAGTGTACATTTTAAGAGATAAAATTCAAGCGAAAGGAATTTACGTCCGTAGAATACTTTCCGTCGTCTCCGTTTTTTACTCTATTTTTTTCGCTGCTTCTTTCATTTTCTCTACCTCGCGCGTACAGCAATAAAAAAAAAAAAAGAAAACGCTATGTGTACACGCTAGCGCGCATACAAATATGGTTTTAAAGAATCACTTATATCTACTTTAATAAAGATCTCTACATTTACAATTTTTTCGTTCGCGTCGTCCCGTTTTGCAGGTTTGTATCAATTTTCGAGACAGAATTTTGTTCATGCGATAATAAAACTACCGGTTTAGTTTTTAATGTAATATGATTCATTTTGTACTCTTCGCGTGTGTGTATCGAAGCGAAGATCGCATTATAAGCGCACATATTTGACATTAAATACACTCTCTCCTTTGTGCGCTATTGAATTAAAAAAAAAAAAATTAAAAAAAATTAAAAAAACAAAAAAATTTTTCTTCACACAGCGTGATGTGACATTTATTATACAAAATTGAATGTAACAAAATTACGGCAAACTCGAAATTAGCGGTCCAAACTATGTATTTTATTAGCGAACAAATTTTTTAAAAAATCGACTTTAACATATTTTACTTGAAATATAAATGATCAAAGAAATTTTATTGAAATTTTTATTCTCTATAGCGCACACAAGAGAAACACATTAATGTATAATGTGAGCAATGTGGCATCAAAAATTCTTTTCTGTCTGTTACATGTGTTATATATACACGCGAAACGAGGGATATTAAATTATTTGCAAAATTCACATTTTGCAAGGTTTTTTTTTGCACTGCGAATATTCTATTATTTTTGTTAAGTATAATAAACGTTGGAAACACTCATAAAGAAGATAATCAGGCTTCCTCTGTTTCGTTCCTAGCGTTCATGCGATACATATTGCATATATGAGTACGTGTGAGATACGTATGAGCACAGAAAAATGAAGCGACATTACTCACAGTGAAATATCCTGAAATGACTTGACTACGTAGCTGAGTGTGTAGTAAGTTTCGTAATGGAAACTTCTATTATATATTGTTTCGCCATCTACTGAATAGAAATCGCGTTTCGATGTGAACACGGCAAACTACTGTAAAAAGATTCTCCCTATTTTAAGACGCTACATATATCTCGTATATGTTTCCGTTTTTTGTTATCGATTTGAAAATAGCCAGTATCTCTTTCGTCCGGTATGTATATAAAAAACGTATCAACTACGCGGCGCGTCATCACCGGTTGGAGTAAATAAAAATAAAAACTACCGGAAGTCGTAAAGAATTTCTCAGAGAATTTGAAATTCCATTGTGAAAGTAGAACAACTTGAACAAGAAGTTTTAGCAACTCAGATGTTTGGTTTGCGAGTCCTTGAAGTAAATCGACGGAAATATCGATGACATCTATTATGGGAAACTGTCCGCATTGTTGTGCGAATGTAAATAGAATACTGCGATTAGAGAGAGAGAGAGAGAGAGAGAGAGAGAGAATTTGCAATTTGTGAAAGTGCCGTGTGTTGCCACTTCACGTCGGCCTGTTTACAAAGATATTTGCATACGGAGTTGGCGCCGTCGTCGGAACTTTTATTGAACATTCTGTAATTGCAGTTTTACAAGGCTATTAATATCGCGTTTGCGAGCAAGCAGGCCAATGATGAATCCTGTTGCGGCGCCGTGGAGATAAATAATGGAACTTTCTTGCGAAGCTAAATACGCTCGCCGGACTCGTGCATAATGCATTACTTGCAATTTCCACGATGCGCAAGTAATTGCGGACGACAGGAGTTAGGTGAATTATTATTCCTGATAGCCGCTACGGAAGCT